GGCTATAATGAATGCGACTCCATTGGAACTTCAACTTCATTGATGTGATTGTGGTTGGAAGGTTTATTGTTTGCTCAGATTTAGTTACTTTCAACTTCACTTCATACCTCACATTCAAGTGGCATATTCATCTCATTTAATCACATTCAGGTGAACTTACAGACTTAACCAGTGCAGCATATGAAATTTTCTTAAATTTCTCTAAATTACTCACTAATAAAACTTGAATTTGTTTAATTAATATATTAATAAAAAAATATTTTTAAAACATAATTTGCCAACACAGTGGAACAATAACAGCCTCTTGACGAGCAACTTTTTTTTATCTGCACTCCCATTGAATTATTGGAACTCAAAAGAGAGATTGAAAATATAAATAGAAATGAAAAAGTTTACCTTTTCTTAAAAACTTAGATCACAAATTTGTCGTGTAAGTGAGTTCACTATGCTTTCCAATGGCTCATTTATATTTAGACTTCTTAGCATCCAATTCTACGTTCCATAACATTACCTCAAAAAATGAAGCTGTCTACCGAAAAAGACAATTGACAGTGGTAGATTTGTCATTGATGCACCAATGAATTCTTCGAGAATGTCGTTGAAACTGGAAACCCTTTGTAATACTCGCCAACAGAAAAGAAACCAATTTTGTAATACAATTTTGACAGATTAAGAAGATACTTCCAATAACTGGAAATCTTGTCGTGACAACCAAACTATGCAACTTTTTCATCTTATATAAACAAGCCCATAACCAAGGAATTAATCAATAGCACCCCAAATTATTTTATCCAGTCTCTTTTTCATGGCTTCACCACCACCATTTGCACTTCCTCCTAATCTGGTTCCCGACGAGGCCAACCCTTCATGGATGAGCAAAGGCGACAACGCTTGGCAACTAACCGCGGCTACACTAGTCGGCTTACAGAGCGTGCCGGGCCTTATCATCTTATACGGCGGCGCTGTAAAGAAGAAATGGGCTGTGAATTCAGCTTTCATGGCCCTATATGCTTTTGCATGCGTTCTTGTTTGTTGGGTTTGCTGGGGATACAGACTTTCTTTCGGGGATGAACTGATCCCCGTTTGGGGCAAGATTAATGTGGCATTATCTCAACATTATTTACTTGAAAAAGGATTTGCCGGCAAGTTTCCAAATGCAACAATGGTGTTTTTCCAGTTTGTTTTCGCAGCAATTACGTTGATTTTAATTGCTGGTGCTGTACTGGGAAGAATGAATTTTTATGCTTGGATGCTGTTTGTTCCTCTGTGGCTTACTTTTTCTTACACCGTTGGAGCTTACACTATTTGGTCTCTTAATGGGTGGCTGGCGGTGAAGGGGATGATAGATTATTCCGGCGGTTATGTTATCCATTTGTCCTCTGGAGTTGCTGGTTTCACGGCTGCATATTGGGTACGTATGGAAACTTGATGATCAAGTGTTGAATCACCTCATCTAAAAAGCTCATATTTGTTTAATTTTCAATTCAAATCCTTCCACGTGTAGGGTAAGCTAATTTTTCAACACATACCGTTCATGTGGAGAACATTTTTAAATGAGTTACAACCGTACTTTAACTGAGTACTTTTGTTGGCTATGATGCCACTTTACACTATTTTATTTAAAAACTTGAGATATTTGAAAGGAAACGCGTCCATAACAGGTTATATTCATCTTTCCTTTTCCTTCAAAAGCACTGGTAACGGTTAGGTATGTGATTTTCAGGTCGGTCCTCGTTTGGCAAAGGACAGGGAAAGATTTCCACCAAACAACATCCTGCTAATGTTGGCTGGGGCAGGACTATTGTGGATGGGATGGACTGGATTCAATGGAGGAGACCCTTATGCTGCTAATATTGATGCATCCTTGGCTGTTTTGAACACTCATGTTTGTGCTGCTACAAGTTTATTAACCTGGCTTATTCTTGATGTTCTGGTTTTTGGAAAAGCTTCTGTAATTGGAGCTGTTCAAGGCATGATCACTGGTTTAGTTTGCATCACTCCAGCTGCAGGTAATTCATTTCTCGAAGCCGTCAAACCCTGTTTGATCAATAGCTTTCGAACACAGTAGTTCAATGTGTCATTGGAACACATAAAAGTCTTATATTCATGTTAAAGGACCTTTGAAGCCCCTCTAAATTTTTAGATGATTCTCTCTATAAATATAGTCCTGGTTGGAGTAAATTAAAATCAGATTGTTAGTAGATTTTAATAAAAATTAATGAAATGTGTGGTTGAAAAATTGTGGGATTATAAAATGTGTGGTTAAAATTAATTGTTGATTTTAATTGAGATTTTAATCCATATAAAAAAGGAGCTTTGATTAGATAGTTCAATATAATATATTGAAGGTCCCAAATTCTTAAAAATCTGGTTCATATGTGAGAAGGCGAGTTAAAGTTGTACTAATGTTCTTAGACGAGGTAATTCAACAAACCGCACGTACCTCCAAGTTAATTTTTCATCAAATGATAGGCTTAATGTAATCATATAAAAACCAAATTTAAGCAATTTTGAATAAGAAATCATGATTTTCTTGATATAAATGCGAGTGCATGTGTATAGGTGTTGTACATGGATGGGCAGCCATAATAATGGGAATTTGCTCGGGCTCAATTCCATGGTTCACAATGATGGTGGTACACAAGAAATCTGAGCTTCTTCAAAAAGTCGACGACACGATGGCGGTGTTCCACACGCATGCCGTTGCCGGATCCCTCGGAGGACTTCTCACCGGTTTATTTGCAGACCCTAAATTATGCAATTTGTTCTATGCAAAGTATGGCCAATATGTTGGCCTATTCTATGGCTTCCACATGAAAGACTACAGCAATGGTTTCAGACAAGTAGGACTTCAACTTCTTGGGATGGTGTTTGTAATAGTTTTTAACATTATAAGTACAAGTATAATATGTCTTCTAGTACGATTCGTCGTGCCTTTAAGGATGACCGAGGAAGATATGGAGGTTGGGGATGAAGCTGCTCATGGCGAGGAAGCTTATGCCATTTGGGGCCAAGGCGAAAGGAGTGAAAATTCACGATTCTCAACCTATAACGATATGGAAACCGGCGCATCAAAGTCCAAGGATCATGTTGAAATGACATCAACGACGTCTTATTAGAAGATTTCAATCAAGGTCTCGGACTTCGTTAAAATTAATGTTGTTAAAGTACTGATCACACGTCTTTTCTTATTTTTATTCTCTTTGACATTGACATGGAAAGAATGTCCCTTTCGCTTTATTTTACCAATTTCATTGTCTGAAAGTTCAATGTAAGTGCAGGATGCATGCTACGTACTCTTTAGGATGTAATCTAGGAAAGGTTGAAAATAAAATGCACTTATTTGAACTTATTTGAACTTAAGTGATTACTCGTTTATGGTTAATTTTGATTATTCTAGTTTCTTGCAATGCTAAAAGGTAGAAATTTTTATTTAAAACAGTACACGTGTGCTATACGTTGATACATAAATAATTTATAGAAATTGTGTATTATTTCAAAGAACGAAAAGATAACAATACAAGTTCTAGAGAATAAAGCTAACGATTTCAATTGACTTTGATTTATCTAGCCAAATCGACTTTGATTTATCTAGCCTTATCTAGTAGAACCGGTTCATCATGGGCCGGGAGGGCACCCAAACAATTGTTTCACCAAACGTGATCACACCTCCACCGAAGTATTTTAACGATTCAAAGGAAAACCTCTCGGCTCAACACTTTCCAACAGACAACAACAACGATATAGGGAGCTTCAACATGGATTCTTATTGTAGCAAGAGCTCGAAATACTGTCACTAAATCACTAGTGATTAAAATCGTTAAAACTCCTACACTAACTTGTCTACGTTTGGTGATAGAGTGCAATATGAGAAAGAAATACTCAACTTTAATCTTTATTGACATCAACTTTACTTGTCTCTGAAAGTTAGGAACCAACTCGAACAATAAGTGAGAGACTGACTATGCGCTGCTTATATGAATTTTTTTGACAAAATATTTCATGACTTTATAGACGTATACATGGCCCTGTAAATATTATTTTTTTGACTAGTGCACTATTAGAAATTTTAAGCATCCGAATAAGAAATTACAGGTTTTAAATTAGCACTTTTATAACTAATAATAAAAATTTATATAAAAGAATTCAGCTCTGGGACTCGCCTTATTGTTCCAATAGTCACTGAATCAAAACACGTATATAAAGATAATAAGCGGCTATTTTCCCCCAGTTGTTTCCCTTTTTTACTTTAATCAAAATTTATATAAAAGAATTCAGCTCTGGGACTCGCCTTATTGTTCCAATAGTCACTGAATCAATACACGTATATAAAGATAATAAGCGGCTATTTTCCCCCAGTTGTTTCCCTTTTTTACTTTAATGCCCTTGATCTGGAAGTTCAATTGATGAAATTGCTTCACATAATTGAAGATATTTTAGTGCAATTCATCAATACACGTTGTTACTGTGAAATATTTGATGTACTTTCATTCTCATTTTTAAACTCCAAAGTTGGGTGCATAAGTTCAGCAACGTCATACAAGAGCTCAATGAATGTCGCGTTTTACCCGGAAGGATCGAACCATGGGAACGATATCAAACTTACCTTTTTTTTTCCCGTTAAAAATAGATTATTTTTAAAATAAGTAACTTTTTTACGTCATGACTTAAATAAAAATTAAGAGACGGGAAAACATGGGGAGACAAACAGTGAAGTAGGAAATGAAAAGCCTATTCACTTTTTGGTTCGTTCAACTCTGGAATCCCAAGTCCAGGTTTGGTGCATAAAAGCTTTAACCCCACTTATCTTTCACACCTGTAAATTCATTATTATTTCCATTTCTATCAGATCTTTCCTACAAATGCTGCACACGCTTTTCTTTTCTTTTCTTTTTTACCAAATATGCCTTTGAAATTCAAGAATTTTTCTAATATCAAATGGGAGAGGCATTTTTTGTGTGTGAATGTATATAAATTTAATTCTTTTGAAGAATGTTAGTATTCTATTGTTTTCTTGAAATATTATTGGGTTAAATGGTTGAAAGTTCGTTCTTTTTCCATTTTGTCCACTAGAAAATTGATTCTTTGAATGTGCATTATAAGACCAAAGACCGACTCTTTTTGGCTCGAGGGTCATTACTGAATTTATGTGTTTATTGATGTGTGTGGATTCTATGTGCTCATAAAGATTATGGCTTTATTTATTTTATTTTTTGTCCTTATGCTTCATTTTCATGGGTTCCTTTCTCTTTCTGAATGTCTTTTTGTAGGTAGTTCTAGATGGGGTGTAAATGGTGGATGCCAATACTAGACCTGTGCAGTTTTGTCTTATTTTTGTTCCATTTTCGCCCTCCTTAATAAGTATAAATAAGGATTACTGGTTGTGTATTTTCTTCATTGCAGGAACTCTTTGTTCTCACTGCAAGTGGGATTCTTCTCCATTGCGCATTTATCTGAGTCGAAAATGAGCGTCAGTGGCTCTGCTGAAGGTCTAATTAATTCTTATTCTCCTTTTAATTTGTATGTACTCTTAGCTGTTTAAGCTATAATCTTTCATAAATTAAGGAAAAACGTTTAGCCCAATTTTAAATTGACCTTCGAATTTATTAGGTAGCCAAACATCTAGAAGGGCATTTGAGTTTGGAAGGACTCATGTTGTCAGGCCAAGAGGGAGACACGAAGCTACAATCGTTTGGCTTCATGGCCTTGGTGATAGAGGCTCAAGGTATAACAATCTGCTTCAGTCATATAACAAATGGAGCTTGCAGTTTTTTGTTTCTTGATTGATAAGGAGTCCCGAAGCACTTATCATTAATTATATTCCTATTGAAATGCATGAAAGAATCTACTTGCAATTGCTAGATGGTGTTTGGCTATAATGACTGCGACTTCATTAAATACATGTAGAACTTCAACTTCATTAATGTGATTGTGGGTGGAAAGTTTATTGTTTGCTCACTTCATGCCTTACATTCAAGTGTCATATTCATCTCATTTAATCACAAAAAGAAATACGTGAGAGACTATCCAGCGTTTTTTCGATCTTGTTAAGTTCTATAAGATTCTCATTCTCATCATTTAAAGAAGTCAAACTGTTACTTGAACTGAATAATGGCTGTTACTTGTAAGATTTTGAGGTGGACTCGTGTCTGACACCTTAATATATAGCAGATGTAGAACAAGGGACCACTTCCTCACTAGCCATGTTTTTCCCTTTTAACACTATGGCATGGTATTAATCCCCTGTTTGGTGGAGATCAAAATTTGATTTTTATTAAATTTTGATAATAGTTGATGAAATATGTGGTTGAAAAATTATGAGTCTCATGACATATGTAGTTAAAATTAAATGTTGACTTTGACTTGAGATTTTAATTGGGTTTTAATCCAAAACGAACAGGGGTCTAAGTATCTTTCTGAGTTGATTAAATCAACGGAATAATACAATTGGTTGTCATTTATTGAGAAGCCTATTTTCTTTCTTTGTCTCATACTTAGCATATTGTGTTATTATAATCATCTTTTTCAAAGAATTCTTCTTGCAAACGTGGTCCCGATAGAAATAAGTGGTTTTCAACTTGCTTTTGAAAATTTAAAAGAAAAAATTGTGTTATCAACATGGACTCGAATGTATGTCGGACACGGGTGTTTGTCCTATTGTTGAATTTGTTAAAAGGTTTTATGTTATGTTTAATGCGAAGGATATACTTATCATATCCTTGTCTAATGGCAACATTGAAACTTGATCTTCAATGGAAGAATCCAATAAATATAGATCTCCATTAGTGGTTTTTGACATTCACTTTAATTTTATTTCTTTTTCTGCAGCTGGTCCCAGCTCTTGGAAAACCTTCCTCTTCCAAATGTAAGGATAAATATGAATTTTGGTCATTTTGTATTGCAAGATACAATATACACTACTTGTTCCTGTTCCATGTAAAGAAAAATTAATTAAAATTATGTATTTAGTTAGTAACTTTATAGTACCATTTTGTTTAAAATGCCATGCAGATAAAGTGGATCTGCCCAACTGCTCCTACTCGACCGGTGTCTTTATTTGGTGGATTTCCTTCCACTGCTTGTAAGATATTCTGCCGTGCACACTTTTATGTTTGTATTCATCTGCAATGACTTAATTACAGTAATATTTTCAATTGGTCACATATTAGTGTTTCACCACTGATGCAAAAGTCCACTTATTAGCATGTTTGTCTAAGCTTAAGATTCACTTTCAAGTAACTTTTGTTGCCAAACATGTCCGCATGTTTTTTTTTTTTTTTTGGAATTTTCAATACAGAATCTTCCTTTTTTTAGCATAGCCAAATATGCTGATATATTGTGACAATGATTTCTCTGCATCTGCCATATGAATGAATGCCATGGCACTTACTCCTATCATATTAGGGTTTGATGCAGAAGATATTTCGGAGGATGCACCTGACGATGTAGAGGGCTTGGATGCATCGGCAGCACACGTGGCCAATCTTTTGTCAACAGAACCTGCTGATAGTAAGTTTCTCCTTCAATGCTTATAAGATAAATTTTAACATGTATATTAATATCATGTTGTCTTACATGATTGAACGAGGTTTTTTAACAGATTATATAATTTTTTTTGGGTACGCTTTATTTCTACATCTTATTCAAAATTTCGTCTAACACACAAATAAGAAGTTTTCATTGCACATTTTCTTTTTCGTATTCATCTAGAGATAATCACCAAAAGAATCAATAATAGAAGGTAAGAGTTTATTATAGGATGTTGGACTCCTTGGTGAAATTTTTAATTGTTGGAACTCAGCAAATTTAGTTGGTTAATATGCTGTGTGAACTAAAATCCCAGAAGTGGTAATTTTCTCGCTTTTGAACTGGTTCATTGCTGAAACAACAATTTTGATATCTCGTTGACTCTTAGTAATCAACATTTGAATGTCCACACAGGTTTAAGATGGTCTAATATTTTATCATCAGTAACTTGATCGTAACCTTTCACTCTTCTTTAGAAAGCATTTTTACAAATAAAGTTGATAGTGATGCTTCCAGAACGTTGTTCATTACAAAAAAAACAACAACAAAGTTGATGTTATTGTAGCGTGTCAAATTTTCTTTGAAATTTTTATAATTATTTTCCAGAAATTATCATCGACTTTAAAGTACACTAACTAATTTTTACCAGATAACATATTTCTCTAGTAGATATCATGTCAATTGATATTCCACCAACAACATTATCAAGTATTGAACTGATTATATACAATCTCCCTTATCCAGTTTCCTGCTGTTTTATGTTAATGAAAAAGGAAACTCCATTACTATAGCGGGTCTAGCTACTTCAAGAGGCTCGGCAATCTATAATTGCAGCTAGATATGTATAATTTTGTTATTTCTACAGTTAAACTAGGTGTTGGGGGATTTAGTATGGGTGCTGCAACCGCTCTCTACTCAGCCACTTGTCATGTTTTTGCACGGTACGGGAACAGAAACCCGTACCCAGTTAACCTGAGCTCTGTTGTTGGTCTTAGTGGCTGGCTACCATGTTCAAGGTATTACTTTGTTTGTACACTCAAGCACACATCATTTGTACCCTACCAGAGCATGCTCTTGGTAGTCACATGATTCTTTGGACTCAGCAACTGATTGTATTCTAGGATACTGAGAAACCAACTGAAAGAATCCAATGAGACTTCAGCACGTGCAGCAACATTGCCTATTTTACTCTGTCATGGACCTGGTACTTACATAGTTACATTTGTGTCAATTTTAATTTTTCGATATGAAGGTCTATAGCCTATTTGCACTTATATTCATTTTGCTTTGGAAATACTTTTAGACCTGCTATTCTGAAGGGAAGGTTCCATGCATAGTAAATTCTGGATTTCAACAATAAAATTTGGGCTCACCGGTGTTTCTATGGGAGCCCTTCTCAAGGGATTAGTTTAAATGATCTAGCAATGAGTACACGTGCTTTAAGATTGCTTATGCAAGGAAGTCTTTAATTTATTGTGGAAAGAAATAGGCCTCCCGGCAGTTATTTAAACAACATATACCTTGAATCTTCAAAAGGACACGAGCACCATCATAATTGATTTGTCATTCTCCATTTGGCATGACGAATGTAGGACTTTAATCGCAAAAAAGGGCATTCGAATGGGCTTTAAGTTAAGGTTTACCGTGGTGGAAATTTTCATATGATTTACAATCTAACAATAGGTCATCAAGTTACCAAGCTATTTCTGTTTCAGGAGATGAAGTGGTGGCTTATAAACATGGAGAAAAATCTGCACGTATATTAAGTTCAGCTGGGTTCCAAAATCTTACATTTAGAACATATGACGGGTATTTATATGCTCGTACTTTGATAACCGTGATTCTGTTGTCATAAATAATACCAAGTTAATTGATTTCTTGCTTTACTTATTCATTGTTTTCCTGTGTTTCTTCCACACAGACTTGGCCATTATACCATTCCTGAAGAAATGGAAGATGTCTGTCGCTGGTTAACTGCAAGATTGAGGCTTGGGGGATCTTAATTGTGAAAAGGTCTCCGAGGAAGCATGGGGTATACATGAAGAAAAGAAAAATAAGTGTAACAGCTATAGAAAGATGTAGCTTAAATAATATGGGAACTTTATACTGATGCGTTCTATAAATGTCTCTATTTTGTGTTGCTGAAGAAAATTATGCCTATTTCATTGATGTTTTACCTTCAGTTCCTTCCCTTGCAAGAACAGATCAAAGAAACTTCTTTCCTTATTCTCTCTTTTTACACTTTCCACTTTCCTTTTACCTAAACTTTCAAACTTCAGCTGTAATTTGATTTGGCCCTTCAAATGTATCAATGAATTTAGGGAAAATTGCAGCAGCGGTCCCTAACCTTTGCTTTTTTTTTTTTGCAGATTTTACCCTAATCTTTATTTTGTATCAGCGATAATTCCTAATATTTCATAAATATGCATCTGAGATCAATTTGGACGAAAATCGTCCAAAACACTGTCAGTTGAATCGCGACCATTTTATTGGACGTTGAGACCTTTTTGGACGGTGTTTTGGACGGTTTTCGTCCGGATGAACCTCATGTGTATATTTATAAAAGGTAGAAACACCCGCTAGCACAAAATGAAGGTTAGGATAAGTGTGCAAAAAATGAAAAGGTTAGGGACCGCTGTTGCAAATTTCCCATGAATTTTTTTTTTTTTTTTTTTTTTTAAGTTCATTTTATGTGCTTTTACTAGATTCTTTTATTTGATCAAATGTTGATGCTTGCTTTTGCTGTATAATTCAACCTCAAAGTTTACTGTATTGAATATAGTTATCAGAGGATGAATTAAGTGGTTATGATACTGAAGACTTTGACAATTTTTTTATAGGCTTAAAGAAGCATTTTTTATAAAAATGATGTGATCTAAGTAGAATTGAGACCAATTCTTTGATATGCTCAGGGATCCTTGTTCAAGAAATTTATTTAAAAGTCTTAAGAAAAAAAATAGAGGATAATGAAACAAGATTTACGTTTACTTCCTTATTTTTCTTTTCTATTTTATTTTTTAGTTTTTTCTTTTTTAAATACTTTAATTAAAAATAAGGAGAAGACAGTTTTACCCTTTTCAATTTAAAGAATGCTGGTCAAATAATTGACTAATAGAATAACAGTTGAAATTCATCCATTTCGATGAACAGTGCCTGTTTTTCAAAGGTTGGGGATTCCATCATCCAGGGGGAAAAAAAGTTATGGAGGTGCATGTCCTCAAAGGTTGGGGACATTCGTTTTAATTTACCCAAATAATTAACTGAAAGTAACACTTCTATCTGACGTTTAGTTCGGTGTTCTAGAAAAACTTAAAATATAACACAATCCGTCAAGCTTCACAAGCCCCAACAACCCCGGAAGAAGCCTAAACACTATTTAGCAACAATACCAAACTTCTCAAACTCAGATTTTCTTGCCTACGTAGGTTTGCTCAAAAGTAATTTTTCTTTGAATAATGCCAACACTGAAGGTGCTAAAGCATTAATTTAAGTGATGACATTAATATCATAAAGTTATCATCTAAACTGATGCATATCGATTATACTGAATAATATTTCTCTCTTTTAGAAAGTACATTAAACTTACATTAAAATAGAATAACCACTTTATAAAGAATTAATTACAAACTCTGATGCTTGAACTCTTAGAAATGGTTGGAGTATCCATGTTGAACACGACATGGGTATGAGTATAGAATATATGTCGAATCCTCTAAGTTACAACCGGACACTTTCGTCATTTTTGCTTCTTCATTTTTCTTTCTTCTTTTCTTTCCATTTTCTTTCTCGCTATGTTCTTTATAAACCTAGTGTGGCCTCTAAGAAGGTGAAGAAAGGACAACGACATTAGGTTATCCCTTCTTCTTTCTTTTTTCTTTCGCTCTCTGTATCGATGGTCTAGAGATTTATTTGTATAAAATAAAAATGAATTCCATATAGTATTACTTAGTGCTCCACTAAATCCTTAAGTTACAACCGGACACTTTCGTCATTTTTGCTTCTTCTTCTTCATTTTTCTTTCTTCTTTTCTTTCCATTTTCTTTCTCGCTATGTTCTTTATAAACCTAGTGTGGCCTCTAAGAAGGTGAAGAAAGGACAACGACATTAGGTTATCCCTTCTTCTTTCTTTTTTCTTTCCCTCTCTGTATCGATGGTCTAGAGATTTATTTGTATAAAATAAAAATGAATTCCATATAGTATTACTTAGTGCTCCACTAAATCCAAATTACAATCAAGTCTCTCATTTTCTATTTTATATAACATTTAGTAATTAATTTCTCATAATTGAAAGCTAAACCCCAGAATTCTATTTTATTTGTCTTAACTCCTTATTTAATATATATTTCTTTGTTTATGAACAATTGATTTTGATTTTGAGTTATTGAAAATGACATCTTGAATTAATAAAAAACATGAAGTTTAAAAGACGTACCCACATACTCGTGTCCAAAATTTGGACTCTTTTTAGGCATATCTCCATATCCTGCATTTTAAAAAAATAAAAGATTCGACACTTAAATACACACCCATACTCGAGTCCGAGCATCATAGGTTATAAATATACTTTTCAGTGCAACATATTAATCAATGTTTCATTCTAACTTACATCTTGAAGTCAATAAGGCAACTTGGAGAGCAATGATTAAAAGCCCCAAAAGAGCGTTCGAGGCAAGCAATAACCATTTTCAACTTCTTATTTTCTAAAAGATAACTATATGAGAAGATGGGAAGTAAAAAAGTGCAGCACTGTCAAAAAGATCATCTGTGATGTCATTAAGAGGTCGAAAATCAAACATAAAAGATGAGTCTCTCGCAACCGAACATGGCATTCTTCGTCATGGAAAATTGAAAATGGCAACTTGTTTCTGTTTTTCTCCAACCAACGAAGTATAGTGATGTGCAGCATCTAAAGCAATGAACGTGAAGGGAGTTGGACAGACGTCTCGTTCTACTGAAGGCTTTCTTCCGTCTTCGTATGTGAAGCCTTCAAAACCATTGCAACTTCGATTTCTGAAAGCGACATCTAAACAGCAGGATTACGAACTTGTTTTTTCCTTGTTCTTGATAATGTCTCCCTACCAAACATGTCACAAGTGATGCAAAGGTAAAACATTCTATACCTGGCAGATTGTAATGACCTAAAGGTTGCTTTCATTAATATGGATGATTGATGAATAGCCATTTGTGGATAGCCTATGCAATACTATATTGCGAGTCCCAAGGAAAAACAGAATTAACAGGATAAAATTGAATGCAATTGTCAAGACTTACCTCATTATTTATGTCATGTACTACTGCTACAACTCTGCAGATTATGTCTTCTCTTGTCCACTGTTTTTAGATTCAACGCATGGTGTAAGAGGTGGGAATGAGGGAACGGCTTGCAATATGAACTTGCGAGCAATTCTCACGCCTGCTGATGAGCTTGAACCCAACTCACATGTATGACCATGAGGTGGAGAAACTCGCTTCTTATTTGGAGAGCTTACTTTCGCAGCATTGAGTGGGCAAGGAGTGTCCTTCAGTATCTCTGGTGTGTCATCATCCATAACATTGTGTAAATCATCATAAAAGTCAAAGGCTTGTGGAAGTTTACTCCCACTAAACTGAGCCATAGGGGTGATAGGTGAACCACGCCAACGTAGGGAACTTGCTGAAGAAAAATGTCCACTTTCAGAAAAGGGTTGAACTTTAAAATTATTTTCCCATTCTTGTGCATTTGGTGGAGCGGCCAGAAGCTCCATATTGCCATGTCCATGGTACCCGGATGAGAAGTCATTCACCGCTCCTGTTTTGTGGTATTCTAGTTCATGATCAAAAGAAACTAGATCCAGCTCTTTAATATTTTCTGAGATCATATCAGGATTATCTGAATTTCTAGGAGACCTCGGGAACCTGATGCATGATGCCCTGAAGGTGGGACCAGATTCTGGTGACTGAAAGTATTTTCCAGAAGGGAACCAGGCTTTTGATGTACCCTTTCCCTGACTATACAATTCAGAAAGAAAGGAAAAAAAAGATTAACGCTTAGGAAGCTATTTCAAATTACAAGTAATCAATTAACCATATGATCAGAAATTAGTACTTTGGGATTGAAATGTATCTAAACAGAATTAATCTTACTCCGAGTATTGGAATGATGGTGTCACTGGCATCAAATTATGAGGATTGCATAGCTCAGTATTATGTAAAACATTTCCAGACCCCACAATTTCTAGTTTTTCAACAAAAGAGCCATCTGTTGTTTCTTCAGTACATTGCATGCCCGCATCCTTATTCATGCCATATTCTGAAAGATGGAGAATCCAGTTCAAATAATAGTAAAGCCATAAATGATTCACGGTTATATATCATATAATTCGTAAAACTTAAATGTCATCTATCACTTTGTTGTTGGAGTACAAGAAAATATATATCTTCATCCTCGTCATTATGCCCTCCAAGTCTCCCAGCACCTCCAGGTCATTTCCATAGTGAGCAATTTATAATTTTATTAGCCTGTTCAGTAAATATCTATTCCTAAAGTCTTCTGAGTATTAACAGGTAGAATCTCATACAATCTGATAACAGAACCAAAAAATCCTTGATGAAAATCATACCTCCCTTTTGGCCATAGACATTTTTACATCCTTCGCATCGGCATCCATCAGAACAACCAACTTTTGCCTGCCCATAAGGTGCAAAGAAACACATTTAATTAGAGCAGATGCAATTAAGTAGTACTTAGCATGAAGAGGTTCTGAGACTGAGACCCAACGCCATCACCCCTCCTCCCAAAAAATATGATGAAGATGAATATGCATACAAGCACACCCATATACCTGATAGCACTCACAGTACTTTTTGAGGCACATCGACTTCTTGCAATTGCACCCTCTTTTGTGCCTTCCGGAGGACTTCGATAAAGGAGTCTCGTTTTCCTGTGAACATTTCAACTTTGTATTTCAGTTAACATTACATTGTTGTACAGCATAATTATAAATTTTGATGCCTCAATACCCCACAAATGCTTGAAGGTGGTTCATGGAAGTTCTGTACAATCTTTGGAGCAAAGGCCAGAGGATTGCGAGATTCAATTTGTTGGCGTATCTCTAGAACCGTATCCTCATATTCAGGTCTGTTGAAGCATCCTTGGCAAGAACAGGGTTCCGCACAATATATTCCAGCAGCAAAGCAATCGCAGTAACTACGAGGAAAAAAATTACAAAAGCACATGATGGAAGTGCAAATCCAAATTGGCAAAAACATTTTATGCGCTTACAGCTTCAAGCATTTAGACTTCTTGCAATTGCAACGTTTGCAACTGTAATCATCATTCGACTCGGATGTTTTCTTCCTGGAAAGATTGCAACCAAAATATTGTAGTAAGACAAACATTTAAACTCATTGCTATATAGGATAACTCATAGACTTGCCTATTCCTTTTGGGGCTTGACTTGTTAAACTCCTCTGTATCATCAGCATTTCCAGTGTTATACTTCCTCTTGTTAACTGGAGCTGATTGATCCTGGATTAGATTACAGACCACAGTGTTGTCCAAAGGTTCCATGTCATAAGTGGACAAAGTAGCAGAATTAGCTGCCACCGAGGCATGATCGTCACACGTACTGTCATTAGCGCTTCCAAGAACACTCTCCGACACAGACAAAAATGTAGAGTTATTTGAGTTGTCCGGTAGATGAGAGCTCACAGGAGTCACTTGTTGCTCATCCCGTATACTAAAATTACCCTTTTCAGATGATCTCACAATTATAGTTTCTCCAGCTCCAACTTGCATGGTACTGACAATGCTATTTAGGTGCAAACCAATACCTAAAGGCATTGGAACTTTTATGCTATAATTCCCTCTATTTCTAGCATAAACTATGTGTGCCATGCCAGCTTGACTAATGGAAGGTGGTGGTGTCTCCAAGGATAGTGATTTGGGGCCCTCTCTATCTGCAGAAGAGGCAAGTGGCCTTGAACTATTCTCAATGCCTAAAGTATCTACATGCCTATTTGTTATTACTTTCTGCTGAGCATCTTCAAAATGGAGACAACGTACAGGCAAGCCACCGTGTTGAGCAGCCTAATAAATTTGTGAAAAACTTGTAATGAGATAATATTTCAAGAAGTGCCTAATTCTGATTTAACAAAAAGTAATGCTCAAAATTCCGAGATATTTTTTCACTAGAATCCAAACAAAAAAATATTTTCTTCACTTGCCATTCAAATAAAACCTACTACTATAAGAACTTAGAATGTGATATATGTATGCAAGAACACTTAAAATTTTATCAATTAATGTGAGTACTGGAGGTTATAATTCAACAAATTTCTCTATCCATAGAATATGGAGATAGACAAGCACCATTTCTAAATACTGGTGAATTATCATGCAACTATGACATGTCTATTTTTGTTGGTTCAACTGTAGGCAATATGTTATAGACATTAACTGATGGAGTACCTTCCATCATTTTTAGTGTGCATCATATGAAACCAAAATTGAAGAAAGTTAAAATCCGAACTGCCTAAAATTCAGCACAATAGATGCAACTTTTTGAACTTCATTTTGTTAAATATATCCTCGTCAAATTAAGCGCTTTTAACAGAAATCAATATCAAACGATTAAGTATAAACCATTCTTCACAAAGATTATCTTAAGTAATGCCAAAGAATATTATGCTGTAAATCTCATTTGGCATCAATATAACAGATTGTTTTAAACAGGATATCCTTACTTCACAATTCAAAAGATAAGGGAAGATGACTAGGCGGCTAAAAAAGATTTGACTGTGCAGGCTTACTGATAAAGAAATACATACGAACTTCAATTATTTGAATTGAGATCATTAATAACAGCAACCACAAAGAATAGATTCTAAAAACACAGATAATCTGCCTGAGAATTAATCACATAGCATGATACTTTAATACCATGGGATGATTCTGCACTTCTTTCTGAACTATTTCAGCCATGGCTCCAGTAGTTTCTACAAAGTTTTCATTCCCTTCATAAATCTGTGCAGATTTTGAGAGCAAATAAGAGGAATCATCCACATGACCTATTTGCCTGGCTTCTGCAGTCTGCAATTGGAGATTATATATGAATATGCAACTTTTCTCATCAAAGGACGAATTTACTTCTGATGCAACACTAACCTCGGTCATAAAATTTTCCGGATGCTTGCTGGTCAAAGCGAGTTTCTCTGACAAATTGGATTCAAACTTTTCACAATGATCAACTCTTAAATCACCATCTTTGGACGTCATACCTATTTCTATTGCCCTCCTATCGACTGATGCATCCCTTTCATGTGTCTGGTCTGTTTGCTTTGTCATGGAAGAAGGTGCAACATCTGTGTACTCCTCATTTCCTCTTAAATCGCTTTTGTATTCAAGTTTCCCAGCAGATTCCTTTGAGTTAGTTACTTTAACTGGTGGCTGATCAATGTTGTAAGAGTATTTCAAACTGGAATCTGCTGAAACATTAGAATTAAAAGAGTCCATGCACACATCAGCCAGGAACTGCTCAGCACATCCTATGGGACTTTCAGTTTGGCCATCCAAGGGTCTGCTACTATCTAAACCTTTCTCCAGGCAAGTATTTAATCCACCACCCAGCTGGGTATCCAGTTTCTGAGAACTTTCAGCAGCAGCGATACTAATCCTGCAGCCTCCATCCTGTCCAGATAACTTTGCACTCGGTAATAGAGGAAATTGTGAGCTGCATAACATTTAACATCATCGCTCTATCACTTTCAGTGGCCTCAAATTGAAGATAAACAAAGAGGAACTGTTTTATTTATCATAAATGATCATCAAAACATATTAAACCTTTTGAGTATACTTGACTGGCTGTGAGGATCGAGTCTTGGTGATGTGAATACAATGGGAGGAGAATTAAGTGCGGTAAAGCCTTGAGAACCTGCAGGTTCCTTAACAGGCTGTATGGGAGAAAGGTTACTAATGTAACTGAAGACAGGAGAGTCCTAGGTCAAAGAAAATAACAGTGAGAAATCAGAATAACAGATTAAACAGCTCTTCCCAACGTAATCGCTTTAAATATTATGGATCGACTAAATGGCGAGTAGCAAGTCAAGAAGATGAAGAAAAGTTTCTTTTTCTGGATATAATTAATTTTCAGTATACAAATACATGAACGTCAAGGATATTTGTATAACCATTAACAAGAGATATGGATCAGAAGCCTAACTTCCATATGGCTGATGGAAGAAATAGAATTCAAGCATCGCTTAAAATGCAAGTCCGTGCAAGAGTGCATTCAAAATGAGAGACAATGTTCCTCATCACGTGCAAAAATTCAAGTACAACTAATAATGTATTGGCGGAACAAGTTAATCATTTGTAATACCAAATCATAAATACAGATGAAGGCCTTAAAGTATATGTCCTTTCCAAAAAAAACAGAATGAAATGAAGAAATTTACACAAGGATGATTGGGAACAGGGTAATTAAAAGCTAACACTGCTGGATGTATAGACATAAATATTTTCACCAACCAAAAAGAGTATATATGAACCTGTAGACACCTTGACGTAGAATATTAGAAATGCTTAGTAACAAAACATGTGTGTATACATCAATTAGGACAGTGGGAAATCTAAATATGATTAATGTTCATGCGAACAAAAATCAAAGTTTTTGCCAAACTAGACCTCCAGAGTTTTATTGGGGTTCAAATTTGAATTAATACAGCCAAGAAATTGCTTCTCTACAGCTACACTGCACGAATTTCTCCCAGTTGAAGAAACGCCATAGATGTGTCCAAAGATTTTATTTCAATTAGAATTCAGTTATTTTCCAACCAACGTGTAATGCGCCAACTGACTTTTTTCCAATTTACCAAATCTGAATTCTTCGAATCATAAGTCTCAACCCATTCCCAGCCAGGCAATAAATATACCAACCGTGGCATCAGCAATAGTGCCAACTAACTATAGTAAAAATCACCGATTGCTATTCTACAAATCATTTTGAAAATCCTAGAAGTGAAGACAGCTTCATCAAAATTGATATAAAAGATAACCACAAACCCCAACATTTTTCAGAACCAAATTATCCAAAAAAAAATGAGAAAATGCTCTAATCCAAAAGTTCACCGCCTTCGAAAATAAATCTTATTTACTTCAATTAACGAGATCCCATTATTATCATACCCATCTCTAAATTCAACTAAATCCACATCTCCATTACCAAGCTAGGGTGAAAATCATTATAAAATTAATTAATTCACGTAAAGTCAAGTAGAAAAATATTAAAATGCTAATACAATCACACATTTATTTTGTTTCCACGTGTGTAAATTTAATTTTAAAAAAATAAAATTAACTCACATAAAATAAGGTAAAAACGTATACAATTCCCCAGAAATACACATTTTATTTATACAAAAATATAGAGTTGCGTTCTTGTACTTGGACGGGAACAGTTTCAGTAGCGTCCCCTTCGGAGGGTATGGTAGATTCAGAAGAGTCCATTTTCAGAAACCCTAATGTACTCTCCCTGCATTTCCTAATTTCACTCTAAACTCCACAATTTTC